GTCCAACCCATCGAATCGGCCCAACCCTTTAATTCTAAACCCATATATCCCAAACCGATTTAGTTAGGGGTTTGTTAGGTGGTTAATTTTGGATATAACCGTATGTATATCTAATTAGATATAAAATGTGAGATTGGGAGTTCTAGGGGGAAGTGAGTTTTGAGAGAGTTACAATCGGATTAGAGAGTGAGGGCGAGACCGAGAGAGGGTGGGAGAGAGGAGTTCGAACTGTGAGTTTTCCGGTGAGATTGGGGACCATTTTCTTGTGCCGATTCCGGTGGGCGTCGTGGCTTGGAGTGACGAGCCGGCCTCCAACCTTGAGGCATGATTACCTCAGGCCATTCGAGCACCAACGATCTGAGCCGATAAACCGCCGTCCCTTCGCTGCCGGTGAAAGATCGAAGAAGATCGGAGTAAATCGGCGGAATTTCGAAGCTGTTCGTCGATCTATTTTGTATTGTTGTCTAAAGAGCTTCTGTACCGGAGAAGACGAATCGGACTCGAATCGTCGCTGCTTGTCGAAGAAGAAACCCATATCAGTTTGGGGTTCCGCAGCCTTGGAAGTCACTGCCGCTGTCCATCCGAGCTCAACTGCCGTCTGCCGAAGTCGTCGTCGTATCTCGTCGGTGGCTGAAGTGATTTCTCGTGGTTGGAATGAAGAAGACATACAGGAAGTGTTTCTTCCTTTAATTTCAATTCCAGAAATTCAAATGCACTGGTTGTTTGTGTTTGATTGATAAAATCCAGATTAGGAATGTAGCTTTAATTCATTTTTATTTTAATTCGGTATTGGGTTTATTCGATTTAATTGCTTCCGCTACTAATTGATTTCGTATTTTGTATACGATGTTTATTCGATAAATCCAAATAATCCGGGAATAAATTCACAACACTATTGAATATACTATATTTTCAAAGATTAAGTTCATACACTTACCTATTATTAATTTAATTAATTTCGGTATGCCTTACCGAATATTAAAGTAATTTTTAATAAACTATTGAATATACTATATTTTCAAATATTAAGTTCATACACTTTACCCATTATTAATTTAATTTAATTTTTATTAAAAAAATACTAATATTTATATTTAAAATTATATTAGAACAAATCTTGAAGTTGATATCTTAATTCCAGCTGCAGAAGTATTTAATTTGGTCCCTTATACTTAGTTAAAACTAAGCACAATTGTCGTAGATTTTTTTAAGTGTAATTTTTTTATGTTTTGATACGATGTCCATCAATCCTTTTCTTGTAATTACTTTTGGCGTGCTAAATATAATGTAATATTGTATATAAATATACAACAATAAGAGTATTGTTGCATTGAAGCTCTTTTTGTAAATTTTATGTATTATGGTAGATGAACAAAAATTACGGGTATGTGATGATGGTCTTTTATATATGACTTGTTGATAACAGAGGTTTTTGAAAATGTAAGAGAGGTACATCGAAACTGTGCTGGAGTACTTTCCTACTCACCGAGTTACTATTTTTTAAAATTCTTCTGACTGATTGATATTTGAGTTTGTGAATGTGCGACAATTTGGATTATTATGTTTATAGGTCAAAATATTTTAGAAAAATGTGTTTGTCCTATTATACAAAAAACACTTGAAGTCCTAGTAGTAGATTGCAACTCGCGTTTTCACTTGAATGTTGTTGTGTGTGTTACAATATGTATTACTATGTAATAGATCTAAAGATTTTTAATTCGTGGCAACAATTATTTACTCTGACAACCAATGTAATTTAACTTAGTAATTTATGACTTGTTTATCTATCTACATATGGAGATTGGACTATAATTGTACATATACCAAACAATAGAACTAAGTTATTTTTGACTTAGTCATTTATAGTAAATATATGTTATTTATCTTTTCATACAATTCAAGGTGTCGTGGGAATACTATCACGATGAATTCATCATTGGTTACCGATAACAAGTGAATATTTTGAACAAAAAAAGTCTGTTTTTTAAGCACATACTATCGGAGTATATATACTTGTTACTAAAGCATATAATACCAATATTATAGGTACATAAGATCTGTGACAAGGTATGTCGGTATTTGATGCAGGTATGTAACTATGTGCTTCGGGTACAAACACTGACATTCAAGGTATGAATGATGATTGCTTAGGTATTTTCCTTGTTGTAGCAAATATTCGTGAATGTAGTTGCTTTCAGTTGATCCCCTGACGGAGAGACACAAACTCGGTGAGAATACTTCTTTTCATAGCCTCATTGGAAAAATTTAGGTACTGTATGTTTATATTTGACAGCTTATGCCATACTTTTCAATGGCAAGACCACAAAACATGTATGAGTCCCAAAAGAACATAATTTAACTAAGTTATTTATGATTTGTTTAGCTATCCATAATAAATATGTGTTGTTTATCTTTACATACAATTACGAAATTCACAGAAATATTATAATGATAAATTTATCCCTGTTTACAGACAAAAATTGAATATTTTGAACTGAGAACGGCATGTTTCCCAAGCACAGGTTTCCAGGTATAGATATTAGTTATAGGAGCATATGAGATACTAGTTCCGGGATATATTGGTAAACAAATGAGGTACCCATTGATGCTAACTTGTGTGAAAGAATGACATGTTATAATATTATGTCGCTCTTATAGTGTTTGAAATCTATTATTGTGAATGCAATTAAATAAAGTATAGTAGATTAATACTCTCCATTATTAATCTGTACAACCGTTGCATATGCATCATAACTAAGTACTAACCTTACCAACAACACAACTAAGTAACCCCATTGCCTATTGGTCACCTATATGGATCATGTTGTTAATTTTTCTAAACAACTTTTTAATCTTCTAGATTGATATAGTTGACTATGCTAAAGATGAATACATCTTATGTACGAATATTGCTAAAGATAATGTTATACTTTACTTAATGTTCAATATATGAAGTATTAGACCCCCCGGACATATGTAAGTTAACTTGGGGTATTTACTAGTTTAATATAGGTATATCATTATATATTCGAGGCATGTCATGTTTGACAGAAAATACATATAAATGTGATGAAGGCATAAACCTTCGCAGTATATCTATATGTTTTTGTTTCTTAGGTGCACCACTAATGTAGTCAGGTATTTGTATATGCTCTTTTGTTCATTGCAGGCATTACTTCCAGCATTGCAAGGTCTTGTAATGAATTAGTTAATTCCAATTTAAGAGCAATATGCATAAATTTTCTAGCTCGTTGATGTCTTCATACAAGGATAACCTTCCTAACTAATGAATAACATGTATATGATCATATATATATATGCAGTTTGAAGGTATTTTGATCTAGTTAGACGGATACATCGATCCGTTGTGGAGGTACACTATGTACATTATTATAATTTTAACCATGTGAAGAATTAATCATATAATCATTCACGACACAATTTATAGTATTACTCCAAAAATTAAGCTTCACCAAATTTAACCCACGATTCAATTCTTCAATCAATCTTAATATAATCTTATCGAACATGAGGCAAATCTAACCAATTCAACCAACTATTCAATCGAAATAACACACTACACAAATCAAGCACAAATAAAAAAACCCAAATCCATCCAAATTCATTACAACGTTCACTTACTATGTGCTGCTTATTTGGAATCTACGGTTCGGAGGTGGACCTTTCAGTATTTTGGCCGTAATTTTACCAAGGCATCTCTTCACATTATCAAACTCGCCACTGATACTGCCGGACTCGCATGGATGTGATACTTGGAGAACATACAGACCAATCGGTACTGCAAACCGATTGATAATCGATTTGTTTTCTTACCCGATTTGTAAATAAATATTATCAGTCCACATTATCCAAATCTCGAATTTATTTAAAATTTTATCAGAATATATCAAGACTACGTAACAACACATTCTGAGTACACAATAGTCCCCTAAAACTCGGGGTACCTAACAATACTTCATTTACCAACCCAAAAATATGACTAATTATCGAACAATAAAAAAAAAAATTAATATGCAACTCTAGGTAACTAAACAAAATGTATATCTATAAAAATAACTAAAATCACAGATTAAACAAATAAAATGACCCAAAATTAGTGCCAAAATAAAACATTCAACTCGGTTTACGTGGACAAATATATGAACGATTTCAAACCCAGTTAACAAACAAAACTACACTGATCATCCAGGACTCCTCAACACGGAACTGATAGAGGAATACAAACACTAGACCAAGGCTTATACCTCAAATAATCGAACAAACTACGATATAAAATACTAATATTAACAAAATAAAAAATTAAAAAAGGTCTTACTTTTTCGAGCTTGTCCTGGAGGATGAGAGTGGGTTAACTGTTTTATTCACCATTTTTGCACCGATCAGTCGCTACTTGATCGCCAGAGGTTGGAGAACGCCGTTTCGCTTGAAGATAGAAGAAGTAGGGTTTAAAATCGGGGTTATGGGAGTTATGGGGGGTTTTCCTGCCTCAACGCCTGTTAAATCGTGAGTAACTGTCTTTTTTCACTATTTTAAAATTCGCTAAAAAAGGCACGCAATATTTAAATAGAAGTATATAAAGTTATAATGGGGTAGAGCGGAAAGTAATGTAGATATATATTACAACATTAGAAGTATTGATTAATCTATTTCGAGTACTTGTTGCGTATATATATACTGGTGATTGAGAAAAAAATACAAATTGTGGAGCTATAATAAACCTAATCCATAAAGTAAGTAGGTACTACAGTCTAATTAATTCTTAATAGGGACTGAATTACAAATTGATTTCACTGACGGAATTTTAGTCCAACTCTCCCTAAAAATAACATGTCCCAAAATTACTTTTTGTGTGTCAAATGTCAATGGCCTCATATGTGATTTGAATGTTTTGTAGGGGTTAATTTTTAATTTTTTAAATTTATACTATTTTGTTGATTTTTTAATTTCCCCAATTTTATCTTTTTAACTGGAGCCCCACTTTCCCTTCGTTTACTTTTATCAGCCCTTCCCGAAGAAGACACACCCATAATTTTCAAGGGTTTTTCAATCCGATTCAATGCGGAATTCGTCGCTTACGTGTTGAAAGCTCTCTGCGCCGCGTCTATGCTGTATGTATAATTGCGAGCTCACTTGGTTCGGATTGAATTTTGATTTTTGTTCTTATGCTTACCCTTTCGTGTGTTTACTTTCAGGGATTCCCCCATAGAATAATTTTTGTTTATTTTCAGCGAGTTCTGTCAATGGAAGTGGTTCGAGTTGTGGGTAAGACTTTTTCTGTTGTTTCGACAAAAATCAAATCTGCATTCGCTTTCCTCTAATTTATGTTCTCTTGTTTTCCAGTCTTGGGAACCCATTTTTTGAAAGGAAGTCTTGTCGGAGTGATTTAAAAAGAAAAAAAAATCATTTATTGGAGAAAGAGTTTTGTTTGTTTGTTTGTTGTTTTTTAATTTTTGGCCTTGCCCAGGTTTCTATATTAATATCTGAATGTTGTTATTTGATAGGCTTCCCTTGAGTTGGATTCGAATTGGGGAGTTCAAGAAGGTACAAGGTTTATTTTCTGGAACAAAGTAATCCATCTGTGTGTAAATTTTTATAAAGCTTTAGATGTATATATATCTGTATAAAACCATGGAATTTTGGAATCAAGAATTTTTTTTTTTCAGTAAAGTTATAAATTGGGTATTATTGGTTTATTTATTGACCAGAAACCATTACTGTTGGTAGATACTAATAACAGGTAGTGTTACATAACAACTGTAATATATTATCAAAGCTCGATGGAAACTGTTTAAAGGAGAAAAGTAGTGGTTGAAAGGGACTTGTGTTGTAAAACTGTGGTGGGACAACATCGTTGGAAAGTTTAGTAGGAGGAGGATGATTTTTATAGAATTAAAAGAGATGCTATAATTGGAAAAAAAAGAAGGGGAAAAACAAGGGAAGAAGAGGAATAGGAAACCCTGCGTTAGGGCCTTACACTTGTATTTGTACTGTGAAAGTGTTTGCTAGAACATCTTTTTACTTTTAGTTAAAATCACAATTAAAAGTTAAAGGTTTAGGTTAATTAGTAGTTGAAATTCGAAGTATTTGCAAATGAAGTTATACTCTAAAATGTTAACTGATTGTGTGTGTTTAAAAGGAAAGTGTTTTCATAACTAATTTCTGATTTTAACTACTACCCATTGCTGTTGGTAAATCAATATTAGAAGTTAGATCATAGTTATAAGTAGTTTTAAAATATATTTAAGGCTGGATGTGTGTTCTTTTTGTGTTTTTGTTTTTATTGTTTTTTTAGATGAAATAGTTATTGAATATGATATTTTGTATGAAAAATGAATATGTTTTTTTTTTTGGGAACGGTGAGATTCCATAGTAGAGATTTGAAAAGAAGAGAGACAAAATAATGAAAAAACTCAAAGAGAACAACACGTCTTTGTTAAGAAGTTCCAATGTCAGCTATTGTAATATTAAAGCAGTTTTGTGTTAGTTCCTCTTCCCAATTTCATATATCATCTACTTGAGATTTTAATTGTTGGCGCTGGTTGTTTTGTTTACTTTTGGACATTTCCGTTCTCAACTCATTCTCTACTGAGCCATTGCTTTATAATGTGCATACATATCAGATGCCTATAGTTTATTTTACTAATACGCATTGATATTTTCATCATTTTTTGCGTGTGATTGCACTTTCTGATGTGACCACTAGTAATTCTAAAGCAATGAAATATCCATTATCAATCAATCGATCTTCTGTAACTTTCAAGTAAACCTTAGTTACATTATGTTGATGAAGCATTAGTAGCTAAAAAAAATGTCAACTTGAACTCAAATTATCATTACCCAACTACTGGCATTCATGTGAACTACTAGAGTCTCCTTTTAAAATAAGGCTAACAATGTTGCACTCTCTAAGGCTAACAATGTTGGGTCATTGAATTTAACTGGAGTCTCCTGTCAGCCAAGAATTAATCAATATCCTGCTAGAAAAGTGGAATGATACTATCATTACTGATGTTGCTACTTTGAAACAGTGTTGTGGTCCTTGTGCACGCACTGATATGGCATTTTTTGCATCGTAATTTGATCATATATTAAGAAATTGATAGTAGTTTGTTCTGGATCACTGCATGTGATATATGCATAGAACACTTATAAGACATTTAGCTTGCCCCTTGCCCCATTTTGATTATCATTATGTTCTACTTCGGCTATTAATATGAAACACGTATTTTGTGGAAATATTAAAGTGCCAGATGGGTGATCCTGCTTGCCTTTCCATTGCATGTTATTTTTCCTGGCAATATTAAAGTATGTGATTCTAATGAATTGGAGGAGGATGAGTTGATGATCGGTAAGTTCATTAATATTTAGGAAAAAGTTTGATTCTCTAGTTAGTTCTAAAATGGACAACTCCAACCCAAATTGGTCCTTTTGAAGATGTGTCGTTTTTTTTTCTTCGTTAAAAAGTTTTTATATACCTCTGGTTCTTCTTACTAAATTTATATGCTAGATGCGTCATCAATTAATTGATTATATCTTCATAACTTATATATTGCTTCCCTTTTGTTCCCTTATTAATTCTTGTCGAGTTTTGACTGGTTAACTGCTTCTTGCTGTCTGCCTAGAAACATTATATTCTGTATCTTGGTATTTTTAGTGTTGATTATTACATTTTTGAAGGGATACAATCTCTAACCAGCTACTGTACTAAATTTTGCTTTTCTTGTATCTCTCACGTTTTTGGGGCTTAACTATTTATATATCCTTGCAGGCTACCTTAGGCACAACAAATTCCTCCTCAAAAGTAGCAATGGGTGACGAAGCTTTCAATGAGAGTATACTGACAGAAAAGCTATCTAAACTCAACAGTTCTCAGCAAAGTATAGAATGTATCTTTCTTCTAGCCCTTTCAACATTCTATATGTCTTAATCATTAGACTTTTTACTGATTGATTGGCTTAGAACTGAATGGTGTGCTTGTTACCATTATTCTCCAAAGGAGTCTAATTTGGGGGATTACTTTTGTCTATCATCAGTCACGTTGATGTTGCAATATATTTCTCCTTAATATTTTTTTACTTAATCATCTGTCAGCTTTATCACGTTGGTGTGTCTCTCACCGCAAAAAGGCCAAACAAGTTGTTGAAACATGGGAGACACTATTTAACTCTGCACCTCGGGGGCAACAAATATCCCTGTTATACTTGGCCAATGACATCCTGCAAAATAGCAGGCGAAAAGGCAGTGAATTTGTCAATGAATTCTGGAAGGTTCTTCCTACGGCACTGAAGCATGTTTATGATAGTGGTGAAGAAAATTACAGAAAAGTTGCCAACAGGCTGGTAATTTACTTTAATTATCATTCATTGAGCTTTTTCTTCTGTGATTGTTCTTGCAGTACTGGGACTCCTAAACTCTGTCAGAAGTTTAATTCTACTCCTTTTTCTTGTTGATGTTCATTTGCTTGCCTTTGGACAATGGTGTCACTTGTCTTTTTATTTCAACTCATAGGCCTGGCTCTCTTGGATTTTTGGGGTTATGTAAATGAATAGTCTTTGCTTTGATTGTAAATGTGTGGGCGTGTGGTGCTAATATTACAAGAAATGGCTTTGGAAAGTTTGTGTTCTTTTTTCTTTTTCTTTTTTAAGCACATTTTAACCAACTATTTTCGTCTAAGTGGCTAATCCTGTAAGCAGCAATAAGCCTCAGTGTGCCTATGCCATAAACAGAACAAGAGTGAGCTGCAGTGTTCAAGAACAATTCACATTAACAGTAGAAGTGTGATGATTGGGTGCATGTATTGTGATTGGCATTAAGAACGTGAAATTCGTCACTTGATTTGATTAATTTGGGGTTGTGAGATAATGTCTTTATTAGATTCATAGTAATTAATGTTCCTGATTATAAAATAATTGGATGGTCTATTCTCTAAAGGGCTCATAATTAGGTTTTAGGATTTTATAGAGTATACGTTAAACTTGTGATTAAAAATGCCTTATTGATTTAATATATTGTTTTGCTTTTTTATTTGTGTTTATGTATGTGAGTGAATTCTTTGGAGCGAAATCGCTGCAGATGAGTTAGATACCATATTCTAGTTGATTATCTTAGCACATGGTTCAATTTTGTTATGCGTGCACAAATACGTACGTACATATACAAGCACTGCCTCCCTATATATGTCTCGTAGCTTATTCAAGCTTGTCTGTTCTGTAGTTCTCAAATCCTGCTTAGAATGCTTTGATTTCAGGAGCTTCAGTAACTAATATTTCTCATGTTTTTGGGTTTCTCTAGTGTGTCACTTATACATGATCTTTAAAACTTTGTTTAAGTTTAGTTAAAACTTTGCTCTATCCTGCTGTTCATCTTCTTGATCTTTAGTTGCCACTGTTTGCCACTTTTCCAATTTGATGGAGTCTCTATCCCAGGTTGATATTTGGCTAGAAAGAAAAGTTTTTGGTTCTAGGGGCCAAAATCTCAAGAATGTAATGCTGGGTCAGAATCCACCTCCTCCCAAAAACTCTCCGACTAAGAATCCTTCATCTTCTATCAATGGAAAGAATGCGAATCCCATCAAGCTTCTGAAGAGAGATAACAACTCTTTGAGAATTGTAAGTACATTCTTTATACTGGAATTCTATTTAGCATTATATTTCCATCCTGTTGCTTTGATTTATTATTATTAATAATGGTTTCGTCGATTCCAGAAACTAGCTGTAGGAGGCTTGCCAGAAAAGATTTTATCTGCTTTCCATTTGGTGCACGATGAGATTGCCGATGAGGAAGTGACCTTAGAAAAATGTAGAACTGCTGTTTCTTGTGTACAAGAAATTGAGAAAGAATTTGCAATTCAAGGTTTGATTTGAGCTAGTTCTGTATAGAACTTATTTCAAGTTGGTACTGATAATCTCTTGTTGTATATTGCTCCCAGTATTTTGCTCTTATTTGATAATGTTATGAATCCTTTACAATGTTCTTCGACTTCTTGAAGCAGTTTTTAATTAAATCTCAGGAAGCCAGCTGGGACCTGATGCTGTAGATAACATACATCAACAGGAGAACACACTTGAGCAATGCATTAGCCAACTCGAAAAATTTGAGGGAAATAGAGCTGCTTTGGCTTCCCAGCTTAGAGAAGCAATTCAAGATCAAGTAATTTTATTTTAATCTTTACATATCCTTTTCTCAGTAGTAGCTGCTGCACCTTTTAATTGTTTGTCATCTAGGGTGTGTTTGTTTGGGGGTTCGGCTTTTGAGTTTGGGTTTTAAATAGTAAAAAATTTGAATTTAAATAATTGTTTGTTGAGATATAAATAGTTGATGTAATATTTTGAATTTAAATATTTTTTTAGTAAAATATAAAAAAGTAAAGAATAGATGTTTGATTTGATTTTTTTTTTTGTAAAGAAATATTATGAATTGTAAAAATTCTTCAAAACCCCCAACCAAAAATTTTTACTCCTTCTGTCCCACTTCAAAATACTCCTTTAGATTTTTGTTGTAGATTCAAGTATTTTATGTGGAAGATAGTTTGACATTTTTCCCATTGTATAAATTAATTGTATGGATAATAATATCTTTATAATTGATATAAAAGTTGTATTATAGTAGTAGTTTGTGATCATGTATTACATTCAAAATAGGTAAAAAAGTATTTTCAGTTGAAGGAAGTATGTTTATTAGTGTATCATAGTTCTGTTAAAGAATACGAATATTTCGGAATTTGTAGAAGCACATAGAATTTGTTTTAAGCAAAGAACAACAACAGGCGATATATTTTTCGTCACGGAGCCATTAACAATCATGACTTTGCAGGAATCAAAGCTGGAGCTGATTCAGAGCGAGTTACTTGTAAGATCAAACAAATTTGTGCCCCTACTTTTCAAGTTCTTTCGTCGCTTCACCTTCTGCTTTATATAATTGATTCGACTCGCAGGTTGCTCAAGGTCAGATCGAACGAGCAGCTAATGTCCGAATCAAGCTAACATCAACCTTCTCGGCTCCATCCACAAACCAAGTACTACCCGAGCCAACCTTCCCTCCACCTGCCCAGCCACCGACCAATCCTGCAGCGCGCACATTGTCGACAACAACACTAAATCCCTCAATTTCCGACGAGGAGAGCAAGAGGGCCGTGGCAGCCGCAGTTGCTGCCAAACTTACAGCGTCAACATCCTCTGCCGAGATGCTCACATCCGTCCTATCCTCCCTTGTCGCCGAAGAGGTCGCATCAATGAGCAACAGCAGCTTCAAAAGGCCCAAGCTAGAGAAGCCTGCGCCATTTTCCGACACAAGAACTTCAGATGGATCGGCAAATTCCAACTACTTCCCGACAACTCAACAAGCAGCGGCGCAGTCGAGCACACAGGCACTCTCCCAGATGAACCAGCTACAGGCGCCGTTTGTCCTGCCTCCGCCCCTACCCCTCGGTGCGCCTTCTTCCTCCTCGCCTGCAACTCAGTTCCCGTATGGCTATGCTGCCGGAAACTTACCTCCTCCGCCACTGTTATACCGGCCTCCGCCTCAGCAGTACAACCCTGTGGGGATTGGATTTTACGGGCAAAACCATCAGGCCCCGGTGCAGCGACAGTGAAATGGATGGATCTTGTGTTGTAACATGACGACAAGAAGTTAAAAAGTATAGTATAGTATAGATAAGAGTGATAGAGAGTAGGCTTTAGATGGACTTTTTTGTAGCAGAATGAATATGTAACCAACATCTTCTTGCATTGCATTGCAGCTCCAGCCTTGAAGGCTTTTCGCATACTTTTATGTCTCAATTACCTATGCCTTGCTTCCATTTCATCTCTTTTTTTTCGATTAGTTGAAAATATTGAATTTGAAAAATATTTATATTTTTAGGTTGTGTTTACTCTAAAATATATTAGTATTATTTTTGGTTTGATTTGAGAAAATTTAGTTTTGACATTGTATTTAAATAATGTCCACGTGTATCTTTAGGATGGGTTTGGGGAAAATTGATTTGGTTTGCCATTACAATAATAATGTGTCGATAAGAGAAATAAATGTATTTTGTCAAACAAAATATTTGTGGGGACATGTTTGAAAAAAATATATATAAATGAATTGTCCAAAGAAAATATTTGTGTGGAGATGTTTGAAAAAATTATATAAATGAATTTAAATAATAAATAAGAATTAATATTTCTGATGAAAACATATATCTTTTATAGTAAAATTTGTATAAATTTTTAATTAATAGCAAAGTTAACTTATTTTTAGATGACTGAACGGCATTGCCCTTCTTCACTCACGCGATATTGCTGGATCGGGCTTTCGCCCATTGTCCAAGATTAGGTCATGAAAGAAGTAATAATTATTTTATTGATTTTTATTTTTAAAAAATAATAATTAAATGCTGAAATTGAACTATTTAAATAAATAAGGGATTAAAAATAGTTATTTGAAAATACAGGGGACTAAAATTAACACATAAATGAATAAAAAGATATAAAAATAAAATTTATTGTTATATTATAGTTAAATTTTATTAACATATTTGATTGTATACGGAACCTTTAGATTTGAAAATAAAAAATTATATTAAGATATATATTTTTTATATCACACAAATTTATTTTTTACATTCAAAAAATAATAACAAAATATTAGAACGAATGTAATATTTCAATTATAAATATAAAATAAAAAATAAAATAAAAAACCAATTGAACATAATTATTAATAAATTCCTATATTCAAAAATTCACCATCTCCAAATCAGACCTAAACGAATAAATCTCATCACCCCTGCTCAGCCCATTTTTCAACTTGACCCTGACTAAACTACCGTCTTTAATTTTATAAATAAATACTTCATAAACCCCTTGCAATAATATAAATCCCGAGTTATAAAAACCGGCCGGGTTCGGCCACATCACCTTCTCTCGAACTGGTCCAATATCCACGACCACGTGCTTTTTCCACTCGTTTTCAATCCCGTTCGACGTCTCCAATAGCCATAATTCGATCGTACTTTCATCGGTCATGCAACTCAGTCCGAGTCTCCCTTGGTAGTCGACGAGCTGTTTGTGAGTGTATTTACGATACCCCTTTGACATGAGCTCGGGTAAATGAAATGTACTGAAGCTTTCAGTTGGATCGTGAAAGGCCACAACGTTGTTGTCATACGTTAACCAATGATATGAACATTTGACAAAAATCGACGCCACCCGATCCAATATGAATTCTTCATCTGGTAAGAATAGGGTTTCGGTTTCCCGCCATCTCCATGTGTTTGAGTCGAATATTTCGCAGTAATATTCGTATAATTCTGAAAATCTATATATAAAAAATATAAATAGATTAATTTACCACAAAAATTAATCAAATTTTTATTAGAGTATATCTGTATTTTAATTTAAAATTTTATTATTTCTATTTTGTCATTTACATAAATACAAATATCATAAAGTTATTTGCAAAATACAAAGAATAAATATATCAAAATATTCTTATACTCTTCTAGTTACTAATAAAATATTACTTATTAATTTATTACAAAAAAATTGATAGATTAGCCTAGTTTCTTTGTAATTTCACAAAGAAATTATAAATGAATAAGAAAAATTTATCAGACAAAATGAAGGTTAAAAAATAATTTTAGTTTCAAAACAACAAATCAAATACTTATTCGTATTATATATAAAAAAAAAAAACTATTATTTCACAAAAAAAAACAAAAAAAAACCTCCCCCCTAAATCTTTTCCTATAAATCATAATTTAAGTTTTAAGTTAAATTTTTAAGTTGGATAGAATTTGAACTCAATTTCAAACCATGTGTTACAATAATTTCAAATCTCAAATCTAAATCCAAATCCAAACCTTAAAAGAAAAAGATAAATAGTAAAAGAAACTTATTTATGGATACTTTTGCATTCGAAATATAACATAAAAAATACTTATTTAATTAAGTAAAATATTATTATTTTAAAAAACTCAATTTCAAACTACACGTAACAATAATTTTTAAATTCTAAATCCAAATCCAAACCTTAAAAAATAAATAGTAAAAGAAGCTTACTTTGCAAAACCTTTCTTTGAAATTCGAATAACCTTGAACCTTAAAGGATTCGACTCGAAAACCCTTATCGCAACTCCGACAGTCCAATGTCGGAGCTTAGGATTAGGCAACGATCGCCATTGCTCCGTGGCCGGCTTACAGACGTAATACCTATATTGTCTGCATGTTCTTTTTATGCAGCATAAAATGCCCTGATTGCACGACGCCAATATTTTCATGTCTCGAGGTAGACAAGAAATACGATCCGACGGCGATGAATGATCAATGGATGTGAACATGGAGAGGTAATCCAACGGTCGGATGTCTTGGAGAAAGAATCCCGATAAATTTTTGGTCCTTTCGCAATACGTCGGCAGAAATATTGAGTCTTCAATGATGTCTTCTTTCCATGTCTTGGCGACACATTTGCATGTATCTAAAGTTCGCAATGAAGTTCGAGTCAAGATTTCGAAAACGACGTCGTCTGGAATATCATGCGGAATGTTGTTGTCCGCAGGAGCTGCCATTGGTATTGTTGGAGAGGATGGAGAAGAAGAATAATTAAAGCCTCAGGATGGAGAAGAAGAATAATTAAAGCCTGAATTTAGGGATTGTGAAATGAATGGAGAATGAATCATTATAAGGATGGGTATATATATATATATAAAAGGGAATTTGGAAGAATTTTATTTTTTTTTACAAAGATTTGGAAAAGTATTTGATTTAAATATGAAACTTTTAATGTTGATATTATTATTATTATTATGGAATGTTTAGGATTTGTTTGGTTTAAGGGTGGAATTTTAAATTTGAATTTGAATTTAAATTATAATTTAATGTAATTTCATGTGTAAGATAAAATAATAATTTTTTTAATGAAAATAGTACAAGATAAACAACTAATAATTATGGCTTTATTTGAAATCAAAATCAAATACATCAAAATAGGTATTTAATTTGATAGTTTGAATGAAAAATAATTCAAAAATACAGTATTTTAAAGAAAAAAAATATAATTTAATGTAATTTACTGTGAGAGAAATAATAATTTTTTTACTGAAAATGGTACACGATAAACAATGAATAGTTATGTTTTTTATTTGAAATCAAATTCAAATACATCAAATAGGTATTTAATTTGATATTTTGAATGAAAAATCATTTTAAAATACAGTCTTTTAAAGGAAAAAATATAATTCAGTGTAATTTACTGTTAGAGAAAATAATAAATTTTTACCTAAAATAGTACAGGAATAAACAATGAATACTGATGTTTTTTATTTGAAATCAAATTCAAATACATCAAAATAGGTATTTAATTTGATATTTTGAATTAGAAATAATTTAAAAATACAATATTTTAAAGGAAAAAATATAATTTAGTATAATTTATTGTGAGTGAAAATAATAATTTTATACTGAAAATACAAGGGAAACAATGAATAATGATTATTTTGATTTGAAATCAAAATCAAATTTAATTTGATATTTTGAATGAGAAATAATTTAAAAACACAGTATTTTAAAGAAAAAAATTATAATTTAATTATTATCATATTTTTAAAATAATAAATATTATTGAAATTAAATTTATTAAAATCTGAATATTTATTTTATCTTAACTATCAATAAATAAATAAATATATACATATGCACACTAAAACAAATTCTATATAGTCTAATAAAATAACTTAATTTATGGACAAACATCAGAATATCAAATTATATAATAAATTTGAATCTAATATAAATGAATGAAAGCTAAACCAACAGGGTAATAAAACCACTTAATCATCTATGAACAGCAGCAGCATCATTGCGCCTCTGATTCTTCCCTTCTCTTGGACCGCTCCTCGCTTCACCGAATGCTTACTGTAAATCATTCAATTCTCATTTGCGCTGCAAAAATCTCCATGAAAGTATTAGCGAGCATTCCGAGTTCCTGCGTAATCGCTTGTCTTCGCGCCAAAAGATGGACTGTTTGTAGCAGATTTCGATTGATTATTTATTATCGTCGTTTAGTCACTTCTTTTTGGTTTTGGTTTAGTGCAGAGGTAGCAATTGAAGCTGCGATTATAGGCGGAATCGAACTTGTAAGTTGAAATCCTTCAATTCGAACGCCATAGTTTGATTATATGTTTTCTGGAGTTACTTTGTATTCAATCGTTCTGTAAGTGTAGTGTGAGATGCAAAAGATTATGTTGCAGTACTATTTGAGCAGTCAATTTTGCGCCAATTGAACAAATAGTGCAGAAATTTATTGAATTAAGATTTTGAAAATTCCCATGAGATTCATTGTTTGTCTGACCGACCAGGTATGGTATTGCCTTTCAATTTTTAGCTGGAAATCACAATGTCAACTCCAGGTGTTTTCGAGGTAAATGTCTGCAGAAATATGTACATTTTAGCCTCCCGCGAACTCCGATTTTATGTTTCTTGAATGTTTCATTTCCACAGGTTTTGCAATGTTTGATCCAAGAATATCCTTGGGCATCATTAGGGGTGAGTTCTTTTCAAGTCACTCCACTTACATGTTCATCACTCTTGCTAGATTTCCTCATTTGTGTAAATTCGTCATGTTGTATGGATGGATCTCGGATATGATATATTTTTACAGATGGAGTTACAGTATGCTCATCAGATATTCTTTTCTGTTATCTAAGGAGGATACTAATCTTCATTTAAACAAAAACAATTCAATAATTAGAACTGTTCATGATGGATGATTCTGAATTTTCTAAATCCATCTTAGAAGCTGTCATTTTGATGTCTTCTGGGCATTAAAGGCTGTTCTACATATGGGCAACTTATAATTTTCCTATAATTTCATCGAACTCTCGTATCAAAGGCAGTAGTTAATCTGAAGTTCTCTCTTATTCTTAAGAAACATGAGGAATTTGGAAAAACGGCACCTCATTTCTTTTGTTTAAACACCTCTGAGTTTCCTCAATTCTGCAGGTTGGAACTGTTTTAGATAGAGCAGATGCCAAAGAGGCGTTCAAGATTGGAGCTAAGTTTCTAATGAGTCCTGTAATGGTGAAGGTACAAGTAAACCTTCACTATATACCGCCAGATTGAAGCTGATTGTTTAATTGTGCACAAAACAGTATGTTATTTATCATAAGAAAACCCAGTTTCTACTTTTACTCCCATTTTATAGAATTTCAATCTATGCTTAAATCATATGATTTTAGTCTACAATCTATATATATATATATATATATATTTCTGTTCAAAATTATGGAATCTAAATTAATATGTACATATATATTGTTTTAACAGTATCAAATTGATATGGATATTTCTTGTGGGACTAGACATACATTTTAGCATGTCATCTTGTCTTATCTGATTTCTTCTGAGTGCATTTATGATGTGTTAAGTGGCTTCCATTTATAAAGAAAACATAATGTAACAATCTTTGTTCTAAACAATACCTTCATATATTCATTGTCGGACATTTGATTGATGGTATCAGGAAATTCTAGATGATGTTGCGGAGTTTCAAGCACTGTACATCCCTGGAGCAATGACTCCAACTGAAGTATGCATAATTCTTATTTGTTTTGTATTTTATTATTCCTTCGGGAGCAACAATTTCAGTAATGACTCAAATCATCATTCTGAATCTATGTTTTTCTTTTTTTAGAATCTCTGGACTTTTACTGTAAATTGTAGTAATAAATAAAATGTCGATATGCAGATATTATTTGCATCAAAAGCTGGTGCACGAATTGTCAAGCTTAGTCATTTCATTTCATTTGCGGAAATTACCATCTGCCAACTTTTTATCTTTTTTTTTTAACTTTCCTCAACTTCTCGACTTTGTATCTTCTCTTTCTGATTCTTCCCACTCCTTTTTCTGTGAGAGCATCGAGGTTTATTCTCCTGTAATCTTTTCTTGTTTAGAAACAAAGTAAATATTTATTATATATTCTCTTAAAGCAATTCATGCTTATCTCCACCACTTTAGTCCTAAAATTCTCTACTTAATTCTATTTTTGTTACACATAAGAAGACAATAGAATGTATATCTTTCAAATGAACTTATGATCTCTATTATAATTTCATCGCTGGAACCACAACTCTGAAAAATAATCTATCGAAGGCGGGTATGGTATGGTTGATGTTTTCTTTTTCTATCAGCCGTTGCATTTTAGAAGCTTTCTCAGTTGAATATATTTAGATTTTTTGTCCAATTCTATATATGCCTATCAAAAGTTTTACATTAGATCATCATTTTGGAGTCACATGATTCTTCTGTTGTTCATAATACTATATCCTTTGTGAAATGTCATCATGCTTTATTTACTCATGCTCATATCTTGTTTCGTTCGTTCTTTTTTCAATTTTCTTTTAATAGGTTTACCCTGTCTCCACATTAGGCGGCGCTCGTTAAATTGCAGCAGTGAAGAAACCATTTCCTCATATCTCAATGGTTGCATCACAGGGCATGACACTAGGTCAGTGAGCAGCACAATCAATGCTTATTTTACGTCTCATTCAAATTCCAAGAGCATTTTGAAGTATGTATTGTGAAGCAGGGATGAGTAAAGGATTGGTGAAATTCATGAAATGAATGTCTTAGTCAGACAAATTAGATTTTATTGCCCTTTTCTTGTTATATCATATACAATGTGTTTTATTCAGACTGATCGACCTCTTTGCCTGGAAACAGATTCAGTGGGTGAATATATTTCTCAGGGAGCATCTTCAGTTGTCTTATCTGATGCCATATTCGAGAAGAAGGCAATGGATGAACAAAATTTTGATCATGTGTATCAACTTGCTCGCCGTGCAGCATTTCATGGCTACAAGGCTACGAGGTTAGAACATTACCTCCTTTTGCCTGCTAATTCTATATCGGCTTTCACATTTCACTTGAAGTCTCTTTCATCACTTTGAGGATACAGAATGCCATTTATGTTAGGTGATTCTGTATTCTCAAATTTGGAACCATCCTGTCTGAAAAAGTAATACTTCCCCCGTCCTCACCTAAAATATCTCATTTGTTTTTTTATAGTAGATTATGAAAAAATAGTACTCAATTTCTCTCCGTTTAATATATCCTTCTCCTTAATAAATAATTGTATTTTATTTGTTGATAGAGTGTGTGAAAAGGTTTTGATATTTTTGTTATGTAAAAGTGAAAAGTATTTTGATATTACTGAATGATAATAGAAAAGAGATACATTTTGGTAAGGCAAACAAAAATGGCACATTAGATGGGGATAGGGGGGCGTATTATATTAGTGGATGGATTTGTGTAAGGTGGAAAGGTATAAAATACCTTTGGGTTTAGTGGAGTAAAGATCGAAATGTGTGGGAAATCAAAGATGAGAGGAAAGAAGATTTTGTATTTCCACTCTGATTTGAATTGATAATACACAGAATTTAAAAAGAGATTAGAAGGAGAAAAAAAAAAAAAAGGAAACAAACAAACTAATTCCCTCAATTAAGTCCCTCAATTTAAGGAATTACAAATTAACTCTCCTAACATATTTGAATTACAAATTGATTCTCCTAACATATTTACATTTACAACTCAGCTACTCTTTGACACTCCCCCTCAAGCTAAGGAATAGATGTCTTCCATCCCCAGGTTAGATATGGAAACTCGAACTGTTCAGCCTCTTTGTTAGAACATCGGCTAATTGTCTCTATGACATACATACTGACCCTTCCTTCAGTTTTTCTTTGATAAAATGTCTATCAATTTCAATATGCTTTGTCCTATCATGTTGTATAGGATTATGAGCTACATTAATAGCTGACTTATTGTCACAGTAGAGCTTCACAGACCTTCCCATTTGACTCTCAAATCATCCAAAATGATCCTCAACCAAAGTAATTCGCATAATCCTTGCAATTGCCCTAAATTCTGATTCCTCTGATGACCTTGCCACTACATTCTTCTTCTTGCTACTCCATGTCACTAGGTTACCTCCAAGAAAAGTACAATACCCTGCAGTTGATCTTCTATCCACTTGGGAGCCAGCATAGTCAACATTGGTGTAGGCTTCCAAGGTAAGAGTGTCATTCCTTTTGAACAAGATTTCTTTACCCGGATTGCTTTTCAAGTAGTGCAGTACCCTGTAAGCAGCTTGAAGATGAGGTTCTCTTGGATCATGCATGAATTGGCTAATCATACTTACAGAATATGCAATGTCTGGTCGAGTGTGAGCAAGGTATATAAGTCTGCCAACCAACCTCTGTACATTGTTATATCCACAGCTGGTTCTTCTTTAGCTTCTCCCAATTTATAGTTTGGATCTATTGGAGTAGAGATCGGCTTACACCCAATCTTCCCTGTTTCTGCCAATAAATCAAGCACGTACTTTTTTTTAGATATGAAGATCCCTTGTCTGGAATATGCCACCTCAATACCGAGGAAGTACTCCAATTTCCCCAGTTCCTTTATTTCAAATTCTTTCATTACTCTCAGCTTTAATTCATGCTTCTCTTTCTCATCTTTTCCAGTTACTATGATGTCGTCCACATAAACTAAAAGATCAGTCACTCCCCCTATAGCCGAATGCTTAATGAAAAGAGTGTGGTCACCTTGCCTTTGTTTGTATCTAGATTCTTTCATGACTTTTGTAAATCTGCCAAACCATGCTCTAGGAGATTGTTTTTACCATAAAGGGCTTTTTCAGCTTGCACACCGTGTTACCTGTGTCCTTTTCAAATCCTGGTGGGATGTTAATGTAAATTTCCTTATTTAAGTCAACATGAAGGAATGCATTCTTAACATCATATTGTAGCAGTTTCCAATTAAAGTGAGCGGCCAATGATAACAACACTCTTACCGTGTTTATTTTTGCAACTTGAACAAATGTTTCCTGATAATCCACCCCATAAGTTTGAGTGTATCCTTTGGTTACTAACCTTATTTTATATCTTTCAAGGGATCCATCAGCCTTGTACTTCAATGTAAAAATCCACCTGTAATCAACAATGTTTTTTTCCTTCGGTTTATCAACGATCTCCCATGTTTTATTCATTTCTAATGCATTCATCTCTTCTCTCATAGCATCCCTTCATTCCCTTATTGACAATGCCTCAGACACATTGTGAGGGATGGCAATAGTGTTCAAACTCACAATGAATTCCTTTTAGGCTGACGACAGGCACTTAAAAGAGACATAGCGAGATGGAGGATAGAGTGGTCGTTTAGTGTATTCTCTGGTTCCTTTTCTAACAGCAATGGGAAGACCTAGAACAGTTGTTGAATCAGTGGATTGTTCAACAGATTGTGTGCGTAAAGGTGAATCTGATCTTACCGTGATTTCATTCTCAGAATTTGGATTGGATTCTTGGACTTGTGTCAATTCAGGAACGATCTTCCTCCTTAAATACACCTGAGGAAACTTTGGAAAATTGTGAGTAATGTTGGTTGGAGAAAGTAGAAAATATGGGTTCAGTGACAGGATCGGGTGACTCAGAAGTGACTTGTTCAGAGGACTCGGGTTCAGTGACAGGATCGGGTGACTTAGATATGACTTGTTCAGAGGACTTTGGTTCAACTGGAACATGAGGAGGGTTTGGTTCGGAGTGACTACGGGGTGGCATATACAGAAGGTCAAGGGTTTAAAGTGGTTGAAGGACTCACAAGTACTATCTTCCATCATTGAAATCTCCCCTGAAGAGAGGACTTGCAAAAAAAGGTCTATTTTTTATGAAAGTGACATATGCAGAGATGTAAAACTTTTTGGTCGAGGGGTTGTAACATTTGTAACCCTTTTGAGTGGATGAGTAACCGAGAAAAACACATTTGATGGCTCTAGGGTCTAGCTTCCCTCTATGTTGTTTGTGGACATGAACAAAGGTGCCAAATAACCTAGGAGCCTCTACAGGGCTTTTGTTTTCTAACACATGAGAGGGAAGTGGTGTTGAGTAAATGCCTATTCTTTCTTTCAGCTACCTCATTTTGTTAGGGTGTGTCCACACATAATGAATCATGGATAATCCCTTGTGATTGAAAGTAAGACGACAATTGAAATAATCTTTAGCATTGTCTGTCCTAATGCTTTTTATTTTGACCCAAATTGATTTTTAACCATTGAATGAAAATTAGGTATAACAATGCTAACATCAGATTTTTGTTTAAGAAGAAAGGGCCATGTAACCCGAGAGCAATCATCAATTAAGGACACAAACCAACGAGCCCCAGAAACATTAGGTGTAGTGGAAGGATCCCATATGTCACTATGAATCAAATGAAAAGGATAAGAATTTCTTTAATTGCTGATAGAAAAAGATGTACGGATATGTTTTGCTAATTCACAGATGTCACAATGAACCTCAGAAATATCTAATCCTTGGAACAAATGAGGAAACATTATTTTTAAAATCCTAAAAAAGGGATGACCAAGACGTAGGTGATATAGCCAAATGACATCTTTATTCGAGGAACTAAGGAAAGAAGAAGGCAAGTTACTTTAAGCTTTTTGGATGGTTCAAGGTGGTAAAAACCGTTCCTTAGTGATAACTCCAAATATGAGCATATTACTTGCTTAACAAAACTATGTGTTACTTGATTTT